TTGCTGTGGACACCCACATTAACCAGGAAAACCATGGCCATGTTAGGGAGATTTGATTTGTAGCCAAATCCCCTTATATCCTCTTGAAGACAAAATCTGGCAGAAATCCAACTGCTCAAGCTAAATAGACATTTAGCCACACTGTGCATTAGATATGCCTGATGACCTCAGAAAAATACACTCAAATGGAAATGCTGGCTTAAAGTACTATAATATGATTGTAGTTCAGAACAAAAAGTTTTACTTGAGAGTAGCGATGATCACTGCACTTTTATCTACCTTGTATTTGAAAATATATTTGACTTTAAGCCTATAAAAAATCTCTGAAAGATCTGCTATACTATTTACCAGGAAATAAGGATTTTTTTAAAACATGAATTCAAAACGAATTAAAAACAGATCTTTTTACCCCTTTCTTTTGCCTTGGCCACTTTAAACCAGTGGCCATTTTGACATGATGTAAAAATAAATTCTTCCCATTGACAAATCTATCAGAAAAAAAAAAAAGGACCTGTGGCTTTCAAACGATTCTAATCTCTGGTCTCATCACCTATTAAACTAAAATCTCCCCTTCAAGCTGAGCAATTAATAAATCCGTCATCTTGGGTCAGAGATAGAAAATTCTCCATTCTCCATTTGAATTCCAATTTCCCCTTCCCTCGTGTCTGCGCGCGCACACACACACACACACACACACACACACACACACACACACACACAGCCTCTACTCTACAAACACACTTTCTTGTCATATTGGAAGGTGATAATAATAAGGGCTGGGCAGTGTTTTCTCAATATGCACTCCCAAATCTGCCTAACCAGCCAATAGCTGCCAACTATTTTACATAATTTTGGTGGGATTATCCTCTGCTACTGTGTAGGGGAACTGACAAGGTTTTCAATTCTTAAGCATTCTTAAAGTAACTTTCAAATTGAGTTTTATTTCATTTCTAAGACCCAATATTACTCCTATGGATATAATTTAGACACCCTCTGGTGGTCAATAGAACACAATTAATTCTCCCAAACATTAACTTGAGCTCCTTAAGTTTAGAGGCCAATTTTACAGGTTCTGACATAAATATCTTTTTTTTTTTTCCTAAATAGTTTTATGGCCTAAATCCTTGTGTTCCAGGCCAGTGCTGCCTCAGTTACTTGTATGCATATGGCTTTGTCCTATGAAAGTGCTATTTACAAATCTTGAAACGCTGTACAAATATCTGGTAAGGTATTAATTCCAAAAGTGTGAGACAAAAGAAAGAAAAAAACTCATACAGATGAGTGTTTAAGTAAATCATTTTTAAAAACAGAATAAATCCACCTAACAAATTCACACAATGGAAACAAATACTTCATATAGGATAGTGAGATACGATACCTGTTGTGACTATTCTAAATAAATAATTTTAACATTCTTAATTGATGTCTCTGAGGAATAGAAAACATTTCTATCATATACGCTGTGTAATTTTTCTTCAACAGCAAACTTCTACACTATTTTAGGAACTGTGTTAATAGCACTGGTATTCCTAGTGCTTAAAGCTGTGTTGACATGATAAACTGCTATAATTTTAACTTGTTATTGTGAGGCAGAAACTGCCTCATTAATTTCTGCTTCATTCAAAACTGAGGAACAAATCAATGTTTACCAATGGAAATGGAGCTAAATGAGTAACAAAAAGAAAACCCAAAACACTTGTGATAAGTCATTAGTTTAAAATGTAGAAAAAAAAATTGTTGCCTAAGTTCTCTTTAGTCAACAAAATGTAAATAAAAATGAGAAACCATTTTAGTATATTTGAAATGGATTGTTCAGTGCATACTTTTAGTTTTAATCCTGTTAAGCCTGAAAAAGGTTTCTCTATACAATAAAGATATCATTAGTATAACATATTGTAGATGAAACAGCAATATCAGTGTTTTGATAAAACATAACTTCTTCGTTACACTGTGTATTTATAAAACTGTAAAGTATGGCACTTAGACTTACTAGATACTCCAACACTTTAAATATATGAACATTCAAATAAAAATGTCTTCTTTGTTTTATCCGTAATCCAGTTAATTTAAAATATCACAGAATGATACTTTAAAATATCACAGAATGAAAGATAAATCTAAAAGGCACATTAGTGATAACCTAGACCCATCCCTTCATTTTAAAAAATGAGGAAGATAAGAACGAGAATCTAAAGACTAATTAACATAGCAAATTAATCTGGCCCAAATTCTAGATGCTTGAATGTTAAGCACAAAATTAAATCTTTGAATGAAAGCACAAATGTTTTGAAAAGTCAATTCATTCTTAGGCCTTTTTTATAAACAGTCTAAGGCACCACCCATAATAATCACCCCAAGTGGTGAACGCCCTTCCTTACATTGAATCACGCTATTACTTTATTTTCAGCCAAGTGAGAAAAGAAGCGCAGTCCGTTCCTCACTGGATAATACAGTATTACAAAAACCAGTAACCGTTTTCAAGACAGACGACTTTTATCAAGTATATAAATATTTGGGGGTGGGTGGGTACCAAAGACTTGTACAGAAAAGAGAAAGGGGTGTGTGTGTGGAGAGGGGAGGATCCCCACTTGAGCTTAAGCTGGATCTGCCAGGTGTGTTTGGTCACAACTAGTGAAAAGCTGGTCCAGTAACCAAAGCCTAGAGTTAAGAAGGTGATTCTGAGTGCTGGATGGTTAATTTTTCTCTGACACATCCCCAGGGCAACCCGCCCAAGGAAGAGAGAGAACCTCCTCCCTGAAGGAAAACTTGATGCTTTGGTATCCCTCCAACAGTTTAACAAAGAGAGAAAAGCGTTTTTCCTCTCAGCCTTGTTGGATGCATTGTTTTCAGTAGAAGAGTATGTAAACAAAGACTCTTTGGGACAAAATTCAATTTCCCAAACTAAGAGAAGACCCAAACATGCAAAATGGCTGAGGACACAAATTCCCCTCACTACTTTGCTTTTAACATAAAACAGATTTTTTCTTTCTAAATTCAAACCATGTACCCTTTAAACTGGTGGGGGATGGAGAGTGGGGGAGTTAGCCAGAACACCAGAAGCCAGAGATTTTCCTATTAGCTCTACCACTAAATAGATGTACACATTTGGGCAAATCTTTTAACCATTGGCGCCTCTATTTCCTTTTCTGTAAAGGGAGGGAATTTGGTTCCTTCCTGTTAAAAATTCCATGGTTCTAATGTGAAAGAGTAAAAAATATATATTTTTAAATTATAAAGGCAAAAACTTTCTGAGATTACAAAGGACACCTGGGGGGCTAACCTAGGGTCCCTGAATAGCCATAATCCCCCTGAATTTGTATGGAAAAATATTGGTGAGTGTAAGTATGTATATATGTGTTTTTCTAGGAAGAAAGACATTATTTTCACTAGAGTCTCAAGAAGGTTGAATAGATAGTGGTTGGGATAGTGAACAGAGATCTTAGTTGCAATCTTTACATGGTTATACATCTGTCCTACAAGCTTCTGAATTTCCCATTTATCTTCATGAGCTGTGTGTTTGTAATTTTCATGGGCAAGAAGGCTGTTTAAAAGAGAGGGCTCAAATCAAGAGTCATTTTCATTAAAGATTTAAAATTCTTAGAATTTGAAGATTTATTTTCATATTGGTGGCTAATGGAGAGCCAATTTACTACATTAGAAAATTTCAAGCATATAGCATCTTAAACATTTGACCATTCGTGTTGGATTATTTTAATACTATTTTCCTTGTGTTAACAGACTTCAAACAAAAGGCTTTGCTCCACCATCCAACCCACTTTTCTTTTTCTTCTGATGCTTAAGTCTCAGCTGTGAAATAATGATGAATTAACTGTGCTTCTATTGAAGTAGTAATTTTCATTTTTATAACAACTTGATCTCCAAGACAAATTAAATAGAAAACATTTATATAATATTCTGGAAATAATTAACTGAAAATTAAAGAGGAAAATAATATCAGGGAACCTGAGGAAATGAAAGAGGAAAGGTGCATGTAGGAGGAAATGAGAATCAAAGAGAAAATGGACACGATTAGATACCTAAATAGTATCAAATCCCCAAGGAGAGAAACAAACAACAAAATATTTTAACAGGGAACAAATACAGCAACCACAAAATAGTAAATTTTTGAATACATGAAATGAAAAAGATCAAAAACATCATAACCGAGCTTTTCAAGAACATCTTTCGGTTGTTAATCTCAAGGCGTCGTATGGCTCCTCATTAATTAAGGCAAGGAGAGAATATCATAGAAAGAAGGATGTTGCCAGTGATTATCAGATAAATACAAAAAGCTCAGGGAAGAGAACAATCTTTTGTGGTAAAGGAGAAGTGCCAATCAGTGAAAAATGCTGATTTTTCCAGTGACAATAGCAAAGAAGAACAATGTAAAGGGAATAAAATTAGTTTTAAGCAACGGCCTTTTTAAAAATTATTCTAAAGTAATCCCAGATGCTTTTTAAACGACTCTCGTTTCCTCACACATGACAACCTGATCAGAACTACTAGCGGCTCTTAAATCCAAACAGAAAAGAAAGCCAACATTCGTGCCCCTATTCTGCTCCATGCTCCCTTCTCGAGTCCTGCAGCTTTAGGTCACTAGCTCTACAATGTCCGCTAAGCCGAGGGCCCCAGGAGAAGAAATGTATCCTCAAACGAACCCGATCCCCAGACGACCCTGCCTGGGTCCTTTTTTCACGGAGCATCCTTCCATGCCTCTTCCTCCTACGAGTAACAGCTCAGCTTTTCTCCTGTCTGCGCCTCCCCAAATCCCATTCAAAAAAAGCCAGGGATTGCAGTTAAAGCGCGCACCGCCCCCCACCCCATCCTGGGTCCAGGCGGCGGTCTCCACAGGGGCCAGAGCGGATCCCCGCTGCCCCGGGAAGGAGGGCCGCGCGCCCCCGCGCCCCCCGCGCCCCCCGCGCGCGCCCGTTGCTACGGCAACGCATTCGGCCCAGCCGCCCGGAGGGGCAGGCGGGAGGAGGTAAAGCGGCGGATCTCGTGGGAGACACTATCGCAAGATGGCGTCTGCGAGGCAGCGGGATGCGGAATGAGCGCGCCCCGCCGGGGGCACTGCGAGGCTGCTCCTCTACTGCCGCCGCCGCCACTGCGGCGCCGCCTCTCCGCCTGCCATTGCGCCGCGGCCAAGCCCTCGGGTCTCGCAGGTACCGCCGCCTGCGCGCACACTCAGCTTAGTACACTGTTGGCAGCGACAAGTGCCGGCTCGCTGAGGGCTAGCGGGTACCTGGGTGCGCCTGACAATAACGCGTGAATAACTTTTTCTTGCAGTAGCCCCCTGCGTCCCGGCCTGCTGCCTTGCCGGTCGCCAGCGCCCCCACCACGCCCCTCCGGCACGGCACTCCCTCTGAGGTGTGAGCTTGTCGGGCCGATGCGGTGACCTCTGGCCGGCCTGGGAGGAGCGCGTGCACCGCGGGCGGCAGCGAGCAAGCGGCGAGCGCCTTTACAATGGCTCTGACCCTGTTTGGTAAGTGCAGCCTTTTCCCTGCGCCGCCGCAGGTGGGGCCGCGCCCCGGGGTTCGGGGACTAGGGAGTCGGGGCGCCGGTGGTGGGGGACACCGCGCGCGATTCCGGGCATGGGTGGGGTGGTGGCGTTGGGGCTCCCGGGGCGCCGGGCTCGCTCCCTCGCGCCTCTCCCATTGTTCCTTTCTCCAAACAGGGCCGATGGGCGTGTGCTCCCCTGGCCAATTCTGGGCTGGGAGGCTGTAGGGTCCTAGGTGTTTTGTTAACGTACAACGTCCCTAAGATGCCAACTTGCGAGAGAAGTTAGCTGATTGTTTGGAAACCTACGTTCTTCGAGTAGGTAGATAAAGATCCCGGAAAGTTTATTTATTTTTTGACCATGATGTCTGTTGCATCCCCATCCTTCCTGGAATTGCCAAACGCATGTGTTGCTTCCTATTGGATTGTTGGAGAATTTTTTGGACTCGTATATTCCGTTGGAAACAGGACTAATTGGTGGACTTAATTTAATATTTGTAACAATTGAAAATGTTTGCTCTAATGAATGAGAGCAGACAGAAGAAAGTTGGCTACTGGGAAATAACTGTACTCCTAAGCATATCTTTGAATATTAATTAGGAAAAAAATGTTATTTCTGTGCTGTAATTACTTTAGCCCTATTGTTTCAGTGGTTAATACTTCAGGATATGTGTGTTTGTTTTCCAGAGTGCTATGATAATGTGTTGGGAAGAAAGACTGAAGGTACAGTGTTTCCTTTTACAAAACTGACTTTGGTACTTACGTACCTCGCTTTAAGAAAATTTGTGAAAATTTAAATGTTCAAAGTATTCAGATTTTCAAAAAAGTAAAGTACAATTATATGTAACTGATATCTACAAGGACAGTCTTAGTAAGTTACTCACAATATCAAGTTTCCAGTTAAGTTTGAGTTATGTCATTTGATCAAGCACATTATAGGCATCACATAACACAAATGCCCTTTGACGTAAATAACTCACAGTAAATCAAGCTGCTAGAATCAAAGAGTTTATTTAACCATCTTATTTTATAAATTAAAATTAGACCTAGAGAGGTTATTTCCTAAGGTCTCATGGCCCATTGGTGGCAAAACTCAACCTAGAACATAATTTGCCAGTCTTGAGTCTGGGGCAGTTTTTACTACACCTAAACACCCAAGATATTAGAAGTGACATTTCTTCTTGTTGGTTCTCCAAAGGTGCTTTAAAAAAATATTTTATCTTTCTCTGAAAGATACAGTAAAAATCTTGCTGTTGTTTTCCAGTATCTTGCATCAAATCTCCATTTTCTGGTAGAAGTATTTTACTTAAATGTGGACTTTTTAATACAAAAGTTAAAAATGATGGAAGTCTATTCATGGTTGATATTTTCTTTTGAAGGAACATTTATCTTGCACTGTTGCAGTTAATACATAGCAGTAAGATTTCCAGAAGTGAATTTCTCTTTAAAACTATTTCTGACTAAATTAATTTTCCTATTAAAGGTATATTCTGCATTTTCAAAGTTTGTTTTTAAAGGTAAGGTTTACAAGCCAACCACTTCCCAGAATACTGATATTCTCAGTGGATAAAACAGATGAACTGGGGAGAGAGGGAGTGTGTGATAATGCTCTTTTAAAGGATTCCTAAATTTTAAATCTTTAACTACTAAAAGTGGGGATGGGAGAAGGAAGAGCATAGACCTCTAGAGGTAAACTGTAAGAAACTACAGTCACCAGGTAGAAATATCTTTAAAGTTTTATAGTCAACCTCTCGGAAAATAGAATTTAGTTTACAACATGTAATTCGGTTACAATTTTTAAGAACATTTATGTGTTATAAAGCAAGGCACACCTGTGCACAGAGGCTATTTTTTTAAGTGGTGGTAGAGCAGCAGCTGTTCTCCACAGTGTGGCTGCAGACCACTCATCAGTTATTTGGAATGTGTGTTAAAAAATGGAGATTCCTTTGCTTGAAGACCTATAGAATCTGCATTTGAGAACCATTGTATCGTGTATAAATAGGAGATTTGATCATGCTTGTTCAACTCAGAATAGCTTTTTATATACTTTGTTAAGTACCCAGGGGTACTTCATATTCCTTTATATTACTTTTTTTTTTAAAAATTATTATGGTGAAAATATACACAACAAAACATTCGGTAATTCAGCAATTTCTGTGTGTATAATTCAGTCACATTGATTACATTCTTCATGTTATCACCATCCTTTTCCGAATTGTTTTTCCCATTAACATAAACTCAGTGCCCCCTAAGCAAAAACTCTCCCTTTTCTACTCACCCCAACTGCTGATAATCTTTGGTTTCTATTAAAAAAAAAAGAACCCATTGTGGTCGAGTCAGTTCCGATTCAGAGTGACCCTGTATGTCTGAGTAGAACTGCCCCACAGGATTTCCAAGGCTGGAAATCTTTACAGAAGCAGACTGCCACATCTTTCTCCTGTGGAGCAGCTAGCGGATTCAAGCCATCATCATTTCGGTTAGCAGCCAAGTGCTTAACTACTGCACCACCAGGGCTCCTTTGGTTTCTATATATTTGCTTATTTCATATAAGTGAGATCATATAGTATTTTCTTTTGTGACGTATTCCACTTAGCATATTATGTTCAAAGCTCATCGGTGCGTGGCATGTATCAGGACTTCATTTCTCTTCTATTTACTCTTAATGACCAACTTAGAGGAGCAATGAGATAAATTCTATGATGGTGGTGGTGAGAAGGTAGGGACAAGAAAACAGACAAATATGACTTATCAATTATGAAAGTCAGAGCTCAGCATAGTTTGGTACCTAAGGCTTCCCAGAATAACCACTGCCAGAACACTATTTGTGTATGTTGGTTGTGTTAGTTGGCTTAGGCCAGCAATGCAGTCTAGTCTTTTGCTTTGTGTTTTGTTATTTCCATTCAGGCTTTTTATAAATGTAAAGAATGTTCATTTTACAGAAAGTTAATGAAAGTTACCTTGGTTTTAAAAAGTGAAAGCCTCTAAAATTATCTAATACAATTTTATATTTATATAGTTTTTCCACTTGTTGAATAGAAACTCAGTAAAATACCCATCAAATTAAGCTGAAGAGTGAAGAGTGTCCTGTCTCTCATCCTCACTATTAATGACCTTTGCTGTTTAAAAGAATATTTTTAATGCAAATTCTGTTTTATTCTGTGATGCAAGAACCAGACCTTCATTCTTCCTGATTTTACTGTCTCATTTGGGAGTTGAGAAATGTGCATTTTTGTAAGTTCAGGAATTTGTAAAGCATTTCTCTTCACCTTTCAAATGACCTACCTCTCAGTTATCAGCATTGGTAGATATTTTTTAAATCCCCAAATCTTAAAAGTTATACAAATGTAGTTAACCTCTGCTCACTAACATTGCTCATTCATTTAGTAAACATCCTTAGCAGTGTACAAGAGACATGGTGCCTGCTCTCATAGAGTTTACACTCTAGTGACACTTCAGAGTCTTTTTCAGAACAGTAGTAGATGTGCCTCTCTACCTAATTGCATATAGGCTTTGTTAGAACTTCCCCGGTAGAGCAGCACATGTTCTTTAATACTTGCTGGGATAGAAGGAAAGCCTCGGGTCTTGTCAGCTGGACTATCTGACAGATTGGCCACACCAGTAGAGCCCTAGTTGGCATGGCTGGGTGAATAAGCATTCTGCCAGGTTATCCCTTGGCAGGGATTTCTGTCATGTATAGCTAAATGGGGCTGGGGTGTACAGCTAGACCAGCCGATAAGATGGGGAACTCAGTGACAGTCCAGCTGGGCTGACTGAATTCTAGATAAGTCTCTTCTCTGTTTGGGTAGCATTAACTCTGTCATTTCCCAAATTCTTCCCTCCCCCTTTTTTTTCTTTTTTCTTCTCATAACTGTTTGGTCACCATCATCATTGCCATGTTGTTGTGTGCTGTCAAATTGATTCTGACTCAGCCACCCTATATGACAGAGTAGAACTGCCCCATAGGGTTTTCTAGGCAGTAACCTTTATGGAAGCAGATTGCCAGGTCTTTTCTTTTAGGTGTGGCTGGTGGGTTCGAACCACCGACCTTTTGGCTGACTGAGTGCTTAACCATTGTGCCACCACAGCCTTATCACTGCCATAGATCACCTCTAATACTTACTGAACTCACTGTAATTTCCCACCAGCCTTCCTCAGACCCTTCTGCTACCGTGGAAACCTATTTAGTATCCTACTTTATTTGGTACCTCTCACTACCCTGACATATCTACCCATGACCCATCTTTGTACAGATCCTTTGGAACAGTTAATAGCATATTCTTTGTGAGGCAATTAGGAAATGTTCTGTTTTCCTGTGTGACTAGCCTAAAATTAAAAGTATATATTAATGCAAATTTGTTTCATTCTGTGGTCTTAAAAAAAAAAAGTCAACTGAACATTTTAGTATGATTTATTTGACCGAAAGCTAATTTTATCAGAAACTCCCACTTGAATACACTGTCTGTTGACATTTTAATATTTCAGATGTTGTTCATCAGAGAAAATGAGAGCGAGTTACTTAAGCAGTAGTGTGGTTCAGTGATTAGAGCCCAGTTGCCTTTCCGAGAATGTTCTGTCCTTTCAGTGGTCATTAAAATTATCATCCTTATTCAAATACGCTTCCATATTCTCTATCTTTTGTTGGTGACAGAAACTTAATATTTCAGCTTTAAAATTGGTCTTTTAATGTTTGGAGATCTGGTACTATGTAAGAGAGATAAAAAATTATAGTTGTTGTAACTCTGATAGTTGCCGTCTGTGTACAGTGTGGAAGGAATGCTGGTGATGCAGTCTTTCGAGTCACGTCTACCCCTGCAGATAACCATCCTATAAGCTGCTTAATCTTTGCTTTTTTAAAAATAATATTTTTATTGTGTTTTCAGTGAAAGTTTACCCAGCAAATTAGATTCTCATTTAGCAGCCTAATCTTTGAAGATAGAAGATAGTGATATGTGTAATTACAAAAATTTCACATAAATGTCAAGATAA